AAAAAGCAACAATCTAAAAAAAAATTAGATGACAGCATTTGATTCACAATGATCTGCCTTGTCACTCATGCTGGAGAGATGTCGAACATTAAACATCTTGTACATGTGTACATGACTGTATAGTATGCAACACAATCAGAAATGGGGTTGTATGCATTTTCCAATAAATATTAACTTTCAGTAACAATCTCTTTAAATCACTTAGAGAAATCATGAAATGTTAGTGGTTCTTGAGAAATATATCAGAAGTTTCTGAACCTTGAATTAACTATTGACAGCCTGCATTAGATTATGCTGGAGAAGGAGAATAGAGCAAAATGCAGCTAACAAGTAGAGATGCGCAAAGAAGATGAAGTCACTTTTCTTTTGTCTTTTATTTTGAAGAAAGGGGAATGAAAGAAGGAAGGGAGGGACATGAAGATAATGCTTGTTACATACCATATATGTCTATGATCTTCTCCAAGGCAAAAAGAATGACAAGATGTAAAAAGTTTGTAATGAGGTTTCCTTAGTCAGGATCAGATGCAAGTCTGTGATCTAATTAGAGACACTCAAAAATAAACTGGCTGGTGCTCACTGAGTTAGCTTCAGTTACAGTTTTGGTGAAAGTATTTTACCTTATGTTAAAGACTAGTAGTACAAACATAGCCAGGTGCTGCACATAAGCTGAAGAGTGGGCAGTTAACAGCTGAAGGGATGCAACTTCCCAGTTACTCTGAGTAGGTCTAAAGCAGCCAGCTGATTATATCCTTCAAATGAAATCCAGCACGGAAGAAAAGACAAAGCATTAAAGACTGGTAGCTAAGGAAAAGAAGGATAATTAACTCGGGGAATGTGTAAGACAACAGAGGCCAGCATAAGAAAAAGCTTTATGTGCAAAGAGTAGGTTTTAAAGAGGAACTGTAAATCTGATCCAAAGGCTCTGGAAAGCAATAGAAGGTCTTCTGTTGACTTCGATGGGTTTTGGATCCGCTCTGAAAATGGAGGGGAAAGGCCTGGGCTGGCAAGCAGCAGGCAGGTTGTGGGGAGACAGGAATGCAGCTGAGAATAGACAGAGGAAGCAAACAGGAGAGTAGGGCTGGAACCCAGATACAAAAGCCGCATGGTTTTGCTTGTACGTCAGAGAAAAATAATCTGCAAGCTGGCTTAGGTTAAGTTCTGGGAAAAGAAAATGGAGGAAGGCGGAAGGGAAGTTACTATTTGAGCTGAACCAAGAGAGCCATGGTTGGTCTGGTGGCAGCTGAGTGTGAAATACCACATCCTTTCCCTGAAAGTGCTCCCAGGAGGAACAGGACATGGGCCCTCTTCTCTTTGCTAAGAGGTTGACTGGCTGAACTATTTGCTGAAGCTGTCTCAGGTTCGGATGGGGGAAAGGCAGAAGAGAATGAATGGAGATACGTAGAGGAGCAGAACACCGTTCCTCAACTGCTTCTCTCTCTGTAATAGTTATATGGGTCTCCCTCACTGTAGCGTCTGAACGTATTCCCAACCTTTTGTGCACCTATTCCTACAACAGCCCCTAAACATCAAGGTGATATTATCCTCAACGCACAAATGTGGAAAGGAGGCATACGGAGATTTAGGGTCAATTTTTCAACAATATGTAGGTGAATACAAGGAAGATGAAGGTCCAGGAGGATTTTCAAAATACCTGCGCAGGTTAGGGTCTTTATGTCCATTGAAGTACAGGGGAAACAGATACATAAATTGTTCAGTCTTGAAATTTTCCATTAGGTGCATTAATACCTTTAAAAAATCTTGTTCAAAGTGACCTCACTTTAGGATAAGGCAGTAACAGATAAGTGATTCAAACCCTGATTTTTCCTGAGCCCAGCCTAGTGCCCTATTACTTTTAATACTCATTTTAATCCCACACAGGCAGGGTCTGTGCAGGCCCTTAGCGGAGGGGCGAATTTCACCCTTTTTCCCTTCCCTCTTTTAAGCAAGCAGATAGGTGTTTGAGTAAAAAAATACCATTATTCTAGTTATGGAAACAAGTGGTGCAATAAACTTGTCATTCAATTTTACCCACACGACTTTGAAAACTACTCACTTAGCCATTGCAGAGCTGTTAAGAGGTTTCAGAAAGTCAGAGGTAGCTCTCCTGTCAGCTGAATAGATCTCTCTGGATGGATACTTCTTGGATCACCTATGGAAGAAACAGCTACAATTAGACTATTAAGGAATCACTGAAGCAAGGGCATCCTCATTAAACATTTCTCAATTCACGAAAGGAGATTACATCCAAATCCCTTTTGACTCTACCGAAGACCTTCACCACATCACATTCCCTTCCTAATGCTGGCATTTTGCTGGGATGTTGTACCCATTCAAGAAATATAACCCTTCTTTATACAGCGTTTGAAAGCACAGCTTATTAAGAACATTAGCTTAGGAGGTCAGTGGGGTCAGTACATGGTTTTCAAGTATGTGACACAGAGAGAACAAGCTGAGATAAATGCTTGGATGGCAGCTGCTCATTTTTAAAAACGGTTGTTCACAATCACTTTTCTTAATTATTTTTGTAAGGCAAAGAGGTGGTCCAACAATACACTACTTATTTTTATTTATAACATTTAAAGTAATAAAACGCCTACCTTCTACACTAAGCTTTTTCTTCACAGAGCTACAAAGAAACCGACATAAACTACATTATTCAGCCCCTCTCTATTGCTCGCTGTGATTGAAACGAATGCCTTGACAGGGCATTCGCCCTGTCCACCCATTCCCAATGATGCTTTGTGAATTCTCTGCTTGAAGCACTCTTTCACAACTTGGGATGGCAAAGCAGTTCGGTTTGGCATGCAACTCTTCTTATGGAAAGTAGGCTCACTCGGTCACTGAGCTATAGTACCCCAAAGACATTGCTACCAAAAAGCGTGCCCATGCCAGGAGTGCCGGGTTACAGCCCTGTCCCCAGAGAGGCTTTGGCTCCGAGCACAAGCGAGGGAAATCAAAGGACCATCTCTAACGGTGTTCTTTGGTGGAGCACAGTGCTAGCTAGAATTAGTCTTGCCATACTAGCAGGAAAAGAAAAAGAAAACAGATGAACATTGACCTGGGTTCTGGCGAGACTGCCGCAAGTCACCAGAAGTCCTGGGTTCCAGCCCGTCCGTGGAGAAGGGGGTTGAGGCTAGTTACGAGGGCTGTGGCAAACAGAGGGGCCCTTTCCCCCTCTCAGACCATTTTCCTGCCACTGAGTTGGGCTCCAAGGGTTCCCAAGCCCTTGCAGAGCCCATCCATAACCAATGTTATGCTGGAAGAATACAGCGTTTGTGCTAGCACATCTCAGAGCAGGCTCAGAGCCCAGATAGTGTGTCTGGGCTACAATTACTCTGCGAACGAGCATTTTACACTTCCATATGGCCCGTAAAAATTCCCTGCTACTGCCAAAGTGGAGGCTGTAGCCCCCAAAGAACTAGACTAAATGAACCCTAAAACTCAAATACTAAGGGAAGAAGCAAGAGCTAGACAGCAGGCAAAGTGAAGCATAGGGTTTCTCTGAGCCCAGGGCCCTCTTCCGAGCACAGGCATCCAGCCCAGCATCCCACAGAGCAACCCAATCCCAAGCAATGCACTTTGGGTGCCCTGGGCTCACAGCAGATGAGAGGACAGCTATTCTGCATTAGGCTTTTTTTTCAGAATTAAGTTTTACTATTAAATTGCCAGCTTTGCACATAAACTAATTATTGGAATTGGCATTGGACATAAATTGTTATTAATTGGTACCATTTTATTTTTAGTGAAAGCTCGAAGCCTGCTGATTGATAGTGCCCAACCTCTCCCAGAACGTGTGAAGATTTAGCAAATGGTCTTATTAATAAGTTCTCATCTCTGTAAAGAAGAACTAAACCTAAGGGGAATAGTTTGTACTCACCATTCCCAATTTCAATGTTCAGAAACCAGAACCTCTCAACACATACCTGAGACACACTTATAGGTTTTTTGCATAACTATTTCTATTAGAAGCATGAATTTTTGTGACCCAGTTACGTCAGTAAACATCCTCCTGCAGAGTTATATTTACATATCTATATATTTCTAATGAATGTAATAAATAATATATATACTGTGTAATGTGTATAGCTAATATACAGCATGATCCAATCTAGTTCCGTGTTCTTTACTCTGTAATAGCTATTCTAACATATGAAAATGTTACGCTTCTATGAAGCGGCTCTCTATCGATACAGCTACGGCCACAACAAGGGCATAGTACTATTTTACTGCAACTGGTAAAGTTAATATGATACGTTTCTACCTAGATATTTAGGCGGTTTCTACCTAGATTTTATTTAATGTGTTTTGATTACTCACTCGTCCACATCCCCTTTTAGTTAGACATGTGTCACATGAACTTAAAAGCAAACATTACTAATACAGATGGAAGGGGCAGAAAAGGACGTACACGGTGCTTATTCCGCAGGTGTGATTCACAGGCTCAGCATTACTTTTACCTTTACTAGTGGTCTAAACCCTACCCTTCCACACAGACTGAACGGCAATCAGCAGGAACTGAGCCACACGCCTGTATCACACCCCGAGCCCTCCGGAAAACCTGCCCGCTCCTTGTGCTGCCACTGGTGCCCGCTGCTTCTTAGGATCCTTCTGCTTTTACCCTGCCTTCACACATTCAAAGGGACAAATGCTCCTCGTTCAAAGGCTAACGAACGTACCATAGGAAGGGTGTCAGGCATTGTGAGTGCCTGTTGCTATTTTACCTGTTCAACGGCCAGGCTAAATAAAGAGAACAGTAGGACAGTGCCAATCTCTCGGTTTTTTATTCTGATGAGCAGTTTTGGAGAAGTTGTTTCAAAGAAGTAATCAATATATCACAACTCGTGTGACATTAAGTAACCAGCAGGAACTTCCGCTTGCTGTAACACTTTGTGACTTGAAAATTGTGCAACACCTTTAGTAAACACTTCCTCATATAGGAACAAGAATAAAGCTGAACAACTCGCTAGCTCCCGTTCACTGCACGGCAGAGGAGAGCTTAAAACACAGACAGGCTGTGAACTTAACTTCCCCAGACCAAAGAGACCACTCACTGCTAGACAAGCGCAACTGAGATGACTAATAAACTTCTTGTTTCTGTTGTTTGGCTATGTTTTCTGCGACAAGGTAAGGTGTTTTTTTTTTCGTCTTTTATGAATGGTTGCTATAAGATTTCTATAGCTTTTATGAATTTTTCATTACTAACCTGCAGATAATACTGAAGAATAGCAAATAAAAGTAACTGAAGAAAACGTTATTGCTGAAGTTAGGGAGTTTGGTTTTTTCTTTTACCATTCAAAGTAATTATTTTAAATTCTCTAATCAGAGAAATATTTACTTGCCTAAAAACTGGTCACAGATTGGCTAAAGATTCAGAACAAGTTCGTTTTGTGAGCCAATTAAGAAAGTACTTCCTCTGCAAGTGATTAGAGAATTTATCCAATTGGGACAACTTACTACACTGACAAGGCTTTCACAATTAAAGCAAAGAGTTTTATTTGAATTCTGTTAATGACATTACCTGAACTAAAATAGTTAGCACCCTTATTTTTACTACTTCAGGTTGTGAGCAGAGAAACTCATATGACTTATCCTTCACAGACCGCATGTTTTCTTTCCACATGCATTGTTTCTTTCAATTCATATCAGCAGGGAACAGATTTTTTCAGAAGGTGGCACGTACATGCATGCACAGGCTTTGTATACATAATTACACATGCAATTTGTACTCCGTCAGGTATCTTTGTGATTTCGCTAGCACCCAGAATATCTGGAAATGCACGTCTCAAATGCCTAAGGTGTTATACATTTCATCTCGATAAAAACAAGTTTTCATTATCAATGAAATCCTCACTATAATAATATTTCTTCCTGGGTTAGGTTGCTTGGAATATTACATGATTGTTTGTTCCACATTAGCACCTTTTGTAGCTGTTGAATGAAGCCCAGGGAATTTCTTTCCTCCTAAAAGCTACTGGCTCAAGATAATGCCTGAAGCAAGATGAAGATAGTATACTGAGTTGATTGAAAAGCTGCCTCTAAGGAACCATTAGCTCCAGGACAAAACTAACCTGTTTTCCTCGAAATACTGCTTGTACCACGCTACAGGGAAAACGTCAAGTTTAGTTCTGTTCAAATCCAGCCTAAATTTGCACTATCTGGGCTACCCCAGTCTGCCTTCTAAACAGAGCCTGCACTAAGAAACAGATAGATAAAATTAAAATTGGGGCACAGAACTCAAGTTTCCGGAGGCCTAAAACATTACTTTGGTCACTGCACGAGAACATAGTTTAAGCTCACAGAAAGGCTCACAGATTCTTAAAATATCAACAAAACTTGCTTAAAATAAAATTTAAAACATAATTGTGATTTTCAATAGCAAACTTGCATTTGTCGTTTGCTAACAAGAGCGCATGCAGATAGTTAATCGTACTGTGCAATTGCTCAGCTGATGCAAACTAACTTCTTAGGGCTTATTACTATTATAACATCGTGTCCTTCTCTGCAGCACTCAGCCTTGTCCAGATAAGGCCAACCTGAGCGTATTCTGCAATTAATTTTGGAAACAACTCAATCAAGTAAACCAGTTATGAAGAATTAATCTATTGATTTTACTGGAACAATTTGCATGTGGATATGTTCTGTTGTTGCAGACACAGAAAATTACAGTAATTGGATGCCACGTTCTTGTAAAAATCTGGCCTTGAGGCAGACAATTAAATGGGAGTTGTACTCTTTTTTTTTTCTTTTTTCTTTATACAGGTTCTAGTGTTTAGTGCTGAGCCCTCAAGAATTTGTCCATTCAGGTGAAAGGACCTTTTGTATGAGATTAAAAAGCTTATATAAGGCACAGAGACCTAGGGTTGCATTGCTGGAAACGAACATGTCACTTGTAGGACCCTATTTTCCCAAATGCTATACATGTGCTGCTGTCATTAACTTCAACCAGTGCAGCATGTACTGACCACCTCTGCAAGACATGCTCACAAATAAACTCTTGTGAAGAATCACTCATGCTCAGAAACAGAAAACAAAATCAAAGCGCTATTCATTAGCAGTATATTTCCCCAAAATGTTTTCTACAGCCCATTGCAGACAGGCAGTACTTCTCACAAACAAGCCAAGTAAAAAAGGGTTATCTGAGTCATTTAATCTAGACTCCTTACCATCTTCAAGATTTTCCTACTTAGTCTATCTACAGTGTCGTGTTTCCTACAGTATGGTACTTCCTACAGTAGTCTATCTCCTATTCTTTTACCTAGCCTGGGTCAAATACCTTCGCCAGTGCTTCTGCTGTCACAAGCATGCAATCACCCTTGATCTGATTCAATAGGTAAGAGCGTGTCTACTGGAGGACTGCCAGAACTATTTATGTGAGACTAGCTGAAAATCTTTCTAAAGGAGAAACCCAGGTTTGTTCCAGACTCATGATGAATTCTATGCGCTTACTTGCCTATCTGGAGGCAATCTTAGCTTGTACATTGTCATGTGACAGAGTTTGGAGATCATTAATTTCACAGAACCATTAACTTAATTCAGGTTGTCTACAGAACGCAAAGGCCAAGGTTGCACCTTGCACAGCTGGCTTAGCGCGTTGGTACAAGAAACCGCTAGTGCTGGGAAAAGAAATCCTAAAGGAATCGCATACAACATTTTGACACCTAGAAACAGCCAGGTGTGTCACCCTGTTTGAACATCACAGGATAACAAACCTCGTTAGATCATATAAGGGGGGGTGATTTCTTCGCACATCAGATGAGCGCTTCCCAGAGCAAGCGCAGAGAATACGAGAAATGAGTGGTGCAACAGATGGATGAATACATAGGACAAAAGAATAAGTCCTGACAGATGTGAACTATGCTATTTAAAAACGTTAATACTGTGTCGGCATAAATATACGTTTGTTTCTCCCTAGGGAGCACAAGCAAGAAATTACCTGGAGTTGAGCAATATGAAGTAGTTTATCCACAGAAATTGCACACAATACAGAAAAGAGATGCAGAAAGAAACAATGAAGAGGTATTAAAAGAGATAACTCTTTTTCGGAGTGGGGTGGGGGGAGATGGGGAAGTTTTTCTGGAGTCAGAGTAGCCTTGGCTTTTGAGAGAAAAAGACTTTGGAGCCATACACTTCCTCTTACAAGGAGGAAATGACAGAGGATGCCTAGAAGACCAATTCCATATCTGGTAACGACAGGCTGTGATGGGTGCTGGGTAGGCAGGGAAGTAACCATATGTGATTAGTGGATCTTCTGTCCTCGTACCTCTGCACAGACGTATTTTTTGATACTACTCAGATTTTGAGTAAATTAGGGATTATTTTAATTTGAAGCAAATTTAACTCAAATGCTTAAAATCAAGCATGCGTTTACATACTCCAAGGTATAACTATTAAACTATTTGAAGTTAAGCATCCACTTCAGGACTTTCCTGAAGATGCAGGATACGTTATGATTATAGGAATGCACTTTCAAAGTTCAGTTTATTCCTCTGGTTAACAACTATGAAACAAAGTGACCTCCTCCTTATTCTAGAACTGCCAGACTGCTTATTCTTGGTGGGAAGAGGAGGAAAAGAATGCAGCTGGCAACTCAACAACAGCAAGCTCTTAGCGAGGCCAGAAATTATAACAGTCCATATACTAACACTTAAAGTTGTTTACAGACAAAATACGACGACACAATGGAGTATGGAATCAAAGCCAACGGAGAGGAAGTCATACTTCACCTCCAAAAAAATAAGTAGGTTCAATTCTATTTTTCCCTTGAACTATTATCCCTCATTAAGTGACTCTGTAGAGCATTCAGGATACAAAGAAACAGGGCTTGGGCTCCTGTAAGATACAGGTACTTTGGTAAAGGTAACCGTCCTTTCCTACCCTTGGAGTTGGAAAGGACAGGAGAGGAAGCATCACGTCACTACTTCGGTAACGTGAAATAACTACACAGGCATATGACACTATTACAAAGGGATAACTAGCCTATTCTGGTAACTCTATCCTCCTGTTTATTTCCTAACTGGCTAAATCCACTGGATGCCTAACGTTTGCATATCAGTTTACAAGCTTTCTATGTCCATGTATTGTCCCTGGGTTATATTTATTTGTTCTGTGTTGGTAGAAACCAGAGAGAAGAAAAACAAGAAAAATATCCAAGAAACATAGATGTCTCTGTTGGCTCTGTAAGCTCTTCAAAAATGGAAAACAGTATTAGGAAATACAATTATATTCAATAATAAGGCTGCTAACACTCCCTAACTTCCTAATAGCTACTGCTGTTGGCCTTTTTGATAATGTAATATATACTGGCACCAACCTAAAATGTTTTATGAGAACTGAAAGTAAGGAGAGCTTGCCTCCTCAGCTGAAGAGATTAGCAGCACTTAACAGGCCATGCAGAGGGCACAGAGCAGCAGTGGGCATTCTTACAGAACACAGCATACAAAAAAGTCTTATACTACACTGAGCAAACACAAAATAAAGCATAGCTGTGATTTTCTGCTTGTTGGCTCCACCGTGTTATTTGACATGGTATCAAATAAGTCTGTTTTAAAAGGTGTGTTTCTAATAGCTATGTAAATACAATGATGCTATAATCAGTTCATGTTAAATATATACTAGAATTAAATGTTTGCCCCTGTTTAAATCTAATCTAAATATTTGAAGGGGGGAATTATATTGTGCTAGATTCCACTCTTTAAAAAGAAATAGGATTGTGTGAGTTTGGAGTAGTTGTCCAAACAGAAATGAATGGAGAGCTGGTTTGGTGCTAGTTTCAGGAGGACTATAGCTCTAGCTTAACTTTAAGCCAGGGCTGTAGTCTTACTTAAGTGCTCTGCTGGATAGAAGGCAGAGTGCACAGGGCCTTTCGGGCCAAGTCTTCAGAAGCAATCACAAATGTGTATGTTAAAAGAAACCCAAAGGCATCATCTCCACTGGTGGCACAGTTACAGTAATCTATTCCATAGCTATGAAGTCCTCCTTTTGAGGTTCAGGAACACATACGTGCCCAAGAACAGAGTTTTGGATGGAAATATAAGAAAAATCAACTTCAGATGGAATGACTACAAAGGCAAAAGTTTGCATTAGCAAACTTATTAAAAAGTTGTGAGCAAAAGGATTGGACGATCTTAAAACATATGCTAGTGTGATTGCAACACCGTTTCTGTGAGCGTGTGCACATATACAGATATTTGTACACACAGGCACACATGAAATAAGTGAGTCAGCTTCTCCATTGACCTGTATCTTAGCTATTTTATCATCAGTGGGGCTGACCTGGGCAGAGAGAATAGAATGGTACCATTTCATACCCAGCAGTGGGAAAAACTACACAAACTGGAGACCAAAAAAAGGATCGGTACTGCATATGCAATCATACCTTTACTTTCAAATCTACCAGATTACTTTATAGCAATGAAATAAGTAGACTTTAATTTTGTTCTTATTTTAGACATGTCCTTTTGTTTGAGTAAGTATTATGAACAGGCAGAAATTATCTACCTAGCAGCCTTGCCTCCCTAGTCTTGATACTAATAATAACCTGAGTAATGATTTGAATTCCCTAAATGCTTTGTGTTGTGCAATTGCCTCTTTTGTAGATTACTCCAATTTAAGTGTTTTGAATAATAGCAACACTCTATTCTTTGCAGGCATCTATTAGCTAGAGACTACACTGAAACAATTTACTCAGAAGATGGTCGACAAATAACAACAAGTCCTCAGATCAAGGTAGTAAACAAAGCTTTCTTTCCCCCATATCTGCAGTCTTGAGCAGGTCTCTATGAGATTCACGGGTCCATGAAATAATAGCACAAACCAGGACAGAAAAAAAAAAGAGATTTTAAGTCCAGATGTTAAGCACTGTAACTTAAGATGCCTCTGATGGGACAAGGGAGAATGACTCCTGCCTTCGGTGGAGCTACACCGATTTACACCTGTTAAGGATCAGACATACAGCTTGCTTTCAAAAGAAAAGCACTTTTCAGCTCACAGGCTGATGAACACCTCTTCTGAGCCGAATTCCTCTCTTTTACGAGGAAAGGGAGCAGAGCCAGCTCAGACTAAGCATTCCACTCCTCTGCACCTCCTGACTTTGCTCAAGTTGTGCAGCTCTGCGACTGGCTTTTACACACTAATCTCGGTGAGATCACGGATTCAGATAAGCACACATTCCCTCATTGGCTCCCCCTACCACCCACCCTCACAGTAAATCCATTCCAGGTTACCCAGGTGGTTTCTCTGAACCATGACAAATCAGTTACTCAGATACCCGCATAAAGGAAATCACCCTCCAAGTTTTTCTTTAATTAACTGTGTGCCCTTGAGTCTTATCCCGTTGCTCTTCAACAAAGCTCTCACTCGAAGCATTTTGTCCATTGCCATGCCATGTATTTTAATACATGCAATTTGAAATGGCAAAACCCAAAATTCTTTGCCATAGAGTGATTAGCAGGAACAGGAGGCTCTTGGGTGAAATTAGCACGTGTAAAAAGAATTCTGAGTTGCTTTTTATAAGACAGATGCAAAGTCTGATTGCTCCAGTTACTTCCACTCCCTGAAAGGATCCTGTGAAAAGTAAACAGCACCTATATCTGGTTAAAGATCATCTCTAACAGGCCTGACTGTGCAGCTTGCTGAATAAGGAATTCCCTACGTTGTGATCTCTTCATTATGCTCTCATTAGTTGTTTCTCTTGCATCCTTAAGAGATGGATAGTAATTCAACATTTTTGTCTCTAGTAATTTTCACTTTGTGACTGATTCTTTCACTATGAGAAAGTGGTAGACTGTGATGGAAGAAAGACTAAATAAATAGTAAAGTGAAATCAAAAATCCATGTGGAAAGAAAAGGCACGTTGCGTGCAGATTTGAATACGACTTGAGAGGCCTCTATTAGGAAATCTAACAAAAATACTAAGGGTAAAATTTTCAACAATACCTCAGTGACTTTGAGCTCACTGTGAACACAGATATGCTCATTAGAACGTGGATCCCTAAACCAATTAAGTCACAAAAATTCTTCCCCTAAGCATATGTTTTACTATAACGCATATATTTTAATTTCATAAAAGTTAATGCATTTAATTGTTGGGGTAATGTGGTGTTTCCCTGAAATTTTGCCACAATAAAATAATTCAGTATGGATCTTAAATCAGAAGAGCACATCAATACATGCTTAATGTTGAGCAGTGAATCTGCACGTTCTTATTTTCACTTGTTTTTAGCAGACACCTAATTTTGAGATCACCATAAATGTGCTTCAAATACAGAATTGTGAGGAAGATACTGTTAAGCTGGAGAAAGAGAAGGCAAATCAATCTGGGATGCAAAGAAGTCAAGTTTTTAAAGACCACCTCAGGTGCAAGATTACCTTTAAAAACCTGCCCCGATGCCTAGGAAGTTATGCTCTGCATTGACCAGAGTCCACCATGATTGAATTTGCCAATATCTGTGTCACTACATGTTGAAAGATGACAATGAGGATAATTTAGCAAACGTGGAAATGGTCACCTTTTTTCATTTCAAGAAGGAGATTAAGCAAGTAACTGATTCCTTCAGAAGCTACAAAACATTATGAGAAAAATATAATACCTAATGGGAGATTTCCTCGGCTGGTGTAGTTTGGCATAGCTTGTAGCTAGCTAATGTAGTTTCTCTTCTGAAATCACCACAGCTCAGCCAGTTCATTGCAGCCAATGAGATACGGCCCAATCTGACAATGTATTTTTTCTTTCTAAATAGGATCACTGTTACTATGAAGGCTATATTCAAAACGATGCCGATTCAATAGCAAGTATCAACGCTTGCAAAGGTTTAAGGTAAGATGGAGGTTTGGTTCCCAAAGGGTAACAATAGCAGACTGCATGTACTCTGTGAGACTAAATTTTCCTGAATTTACAGCTTAAGCTACATCTAGTGCTGTGAAACAATACGATATCAAAACCTGAGCTGCCTTGGGGGAGAGTCGGGACGCGGTAAATGGTTATTATCTTTTATTCATGACTACAAGGAAACTAGGAAAGGGAAAGAAATGAGAAATTACCCTTCTATTTCAGTTCCAGAGCATATAAATTAGAAGCCAAAGGAATATCTAAATACATAAACCTATATGAATAATTCCATAGTAGAATAGGTCATATAGCCTAGTGTTTGGAGTTGTTTTCAGTGGATGTTTAGGGATGACGCTTCTAAGCTGCAGGAAGCTGCATTGACACTTCAGCAGAAGGCCACGGTATTTTCAGTGCTAAAGCAGTTACAGGGTCAGGAAGTTCAATCCTTTGCACAAAAAGCTCAGTTAAAAAAAATCTGTTCATTTCTAATTACGGAAGACACAATGGCATAATATGAAAGGGCAAGAAGACATCATTAAGCCTGAGAAGCTAGAGCACAACGTTTTCCCAATGGATAACGGGGTTTTGCCAAAATTCAGACTTTCTTTGCGAATAGATCTAGCATTGCATATCAAGTTTATATGTCAACACAGAATGCTTGACATTTACAAATCAAAATGATTCAAAACTCTCAATTGCTTTCAATGTGTCAGCTTTTCATCTCAATTAAAGATGAAATCATATCTTTGATTCCCCACTGAACTGAAATTCACTTTTCAATCATCTCTATCGATAAAGCACAAAAATCCCTAATTTAAATAGAATTCATTCCTAATCCAGCTTATTTTGGCTGACAGTCTGCTGCTCAGAGGCCTCACCTGACCAACCAGAGCTTCCCATTGACTCAGTAGCTTTCATTTCTACCCTTCAACTGTTGTATACTCTGCCTGCATGCTGCCAAACCATACTGCACTGCATCAGTGCGTGCAATTATCCTTATGCTTGTGCTAAATGCTGTTAGATATAATGTTGCTATCCTGACTCTGGCCTGTGGATGCAAAAGATCCCAGTCTAACCTAAAGAAAATTTTCATAGTGGATATTTTGAGACCCATGGTCAGAAATACCTTATTGAACCCTTGGGAACCTCGGACAGAGAAGAACATGCGGTCTATAAATACGAGAAACTTGAAGACAATTCCATAAAAACCTGTGGTGTAATCAATAGTACGTGGGAACCGGATTCAAATGACCCCACCAAGAAGATCTTTAAATCAAGCAACGATCCAGAAGTAAGTACCGCTCAGAAAAGCAGCTGAGACCCTAGGAGAGCTGTGTGATTGGCACAAGTCCCACTTTTGTCTGCTGACACCTATGGAAGAGAAGCATGGTGAACAGTGGAGCATGCTCAGGTCTTAAATAACCAGATCAAAACGCATCAGTGCTCAGAGATCTGAAGTTAATAGAGCCACCACCTGAGTTAAGCTCTCCTGTGCATACTAACAGGTGCCCATGTGCATCTTAAAATATTTAAATACCTTCTAATAAATAACCTGTTGTTCATCATTTTTAAAATGAAATGACTTAGCTAGAAATACCCTGATAACTAATATATGGTTTTGAAATTGAAAGGATCGAGACTGAAACAGGCCCTGAAAGTCATTTAAAATATATATTTTCTTTAGATGAAAGCATATCTGAAAGCCAAAAAGTATCTGGAAGTTTACATAGTTGCAGACAACACTATGGTAAGTATTGAAACAAGTATTTCTCTTTTGACCCCTTAGCGGTGAGCTTTCCAAATACTCGTATCCCTGGGCTCCTATTACAATTACAGTGCTAAATATGCTTTACTGCAGACTTTGATTAGGAATATGATTTCCTCATGGCGAGTGATTTAGAAAATCCCACCTGGTGATGACAAGAATTCAGAACAGATGGCAAGGCATCCATCACAACCAGGGAATTTATGGTTCTTTTTCTAGGAAAAAATAAAGTTTTGGGGGATGAAAACATGGCCCACTTATCAGCTGTTTTATAACTAAGGTGAGGTTTCCTGTTTGTTTTCTAGGCATTTAGGCCCCAGTTGATTGGTCAGTTGATTGGGGTGGGGGGAACCAGCTGTTCGGAGAATATCTGAGCATCCTTCTCTCTCACACCAGCAACATTTCAGACTTTGGCCCTTCCTAACCCCCAAAGAACCACAGTGGGGTTTTTTTGTAGGATCCGTAGAGGCTGGTCACAGACACAATTGCATGTGTCACGTCAACGGCTGAAAGACTGGCCCACCAGCAAAGGTGGCAAAAGGAGGCCACAAAAAAAAGAATTAGGGCCAGGGAGGAACTCCCAGAGCACAGTGCAGTGCCTGCCCTGTTTTGCACATTAAACACGGAGATACATTTAAATAGGGTCTGATCCTGCAAACACACAGGCTTACCTTAAAGCCTGAGAGCGATCCCAGCTGCAGCCAAGTCTGAGTCTTACAGCTATCGCATGCGTACAGTTGGACTGCGTTTGCACCATCAGACCTACGCTTCCTCAGCACCACATGAGAAATTGATTTCAGTTATAAATAGGTGATGTGCCCTCATCCTAGGCAGGTCTAGATGCACTTAAGTCTGACCTAGAATCTCTATACAATCAAATATAAATAAGAATAGCATCAATGCATACGCTTTCTCCTGTCTCTTTGTTCAAGGCTTTCAAAAACATTGTCCAATCAAATAATAAATATGTAAGGTAATAAATGGATCAGATATGGTGTGGCTTACAATGCAGTCTTCTGTGAAGTATTCCTTTTCTTTTCTACAAATCACCCTTTTTCCTCTCCTGTTCCTGACACCCTACATTTACTTTTTCAGTATAAGAAGTATAAGGAAGATGTTAAAGCTGTAAGACAAAGGATATTTGGAATAGTCAACTACATCAACACGGTAAGAGCAAATACAGCTAAGTGAAATTGGAATAGAAGCATACCTTTTTTTTTTTTTTTATATTGCAAGCTTCCTGAATTAATAAATGTAGGAAAGAATGACAACTTCCTTGTCATTTATGAAATAAATCTACCTGCTGGGAAAAAACTGTCCCACTACGTATCTAAAACCAACAGAAACACAATTTCAGACTAATAACTTATAGTCCACAATACTTTCCCCTACAAACAGCTGCAGAGACTACACACCATTCCTCCATTACACTGCCCTTGTGTAGTCCTTTGTATCAGGCAGAGCAAGTGGAAAATAGATAAAAACGTTGCCGTATTCTCATATGTTATTTTCTTTTGCACTCATTTTGCATCCATTTTCAAGTCCTGGTCCAACTAATCCATCTGTCCATATTATCTTGTTCTGTGCCTTCAGATATGAGATTTCTATAAAACCAATTAATGTTAAACAAGGCTTTATACCTCACTTTCTTAGCAGCTGTTACAATGAATGATTGAAATTCTTTGAAAAGAATGAACTGATTCTTGATTTCTTTCACAATATAAATTTCTTCAAAAATACTGTCAGAATTTTCAAAAATTCCAAACCATTTTTATAGTTGGTTTAAACTTGGAAGACAAGAAAATTTCATATGTCGGCAGGTCTGATCAATTTTTTGTTGCAAATTCCGAGCGAGGAAAAGCTTAAACCAGGCTTAGAGTGGACCATATTACAAGTGACAAACATGAAACGATTACCATGATAAGTGTCTGTTTCTGAAGTCTTTCCAATACACTTCCTTACTACAGCAACCCTGTTTCTCCGCTGCAGGTTTATAAGTCCATAAATATCTATGTCGCATTAATTGGCCTAGAAATCTGGACGGACAATGATAAATGCCTCTTGAGTCGTGTGGCGGGCTCCACTCTAGACAGTTTCTCAAAGTGGCGTCAATCAGAGTTATTGCAGAGGAAGAGAAACGACAACGCTCAGCTAGTCACGTGTGTATCACTCTGTTCCCTGCTGCATTTCCAAGTATGTTAGAGGAATTAGCTCTTAGAAAATCGGTCATCAACCCATCAGAGATGCTATCTATAATAAGCTGGGTTTTTTGTGCTTTCCAGTACCAAGCTATACTAATTATAGAACAAAAGGATGAAATTCAGGTTTGATCTCTTGCTTTTCTTTGCTTTTTGGAGCATGGATTACCCACTAGGACGTAAGACTAGGACATAGCGTCTAACGTTTGTATCTGAATCCCTACAAAAACAGGCAACGTGGACGTTGGTTATACTTCAGTCTCTCCTTTTCCAATGCGCTGGTCACAAAATAGTTGAGTACCCTGAAAGACTGCAATGCTTTAGTCTAATAATCAAAGGAGCCATGGCATGAAGTTTAATGGCTGTGAAAAGCAGACTGCCAAACTAAACCAGTGCTCAGTTGACTATTCTGGCTCAAGTTCAATGGCCCTGATTCATCAAAGCACTTTACTACGTTTAAAGCACTTCATTAAGCAGTTTACACTGAAACAGGTGCTTGAGTCTTATTAACGCCAATGGAATTTAAGTATACGTTTAAAATGAAATGCGCATTTAATTGTTTTCTGATTTGCAGTATTCTTAAGTATATCCTTAAACGTTATATTAAGTTGGGGCTGCAAACCAGAGATGGAAAGAAGCCTATGCTTAAAGCCTTCAGCTTTGCTAACAAAGTTGACGACGACTTCAGACCCGCTTCACTCTGCCTTTCTTCTTCCTTACAGAGGGTTTGACTTCGAGGGGACAACGGTTGGACTAGCCTTTCTAAAAACCATATGCAGTGATGTATATTCTGCAGGTATTATTCAGGTCTGATTTGTTCTTATTTTATTTTTTAAAGGCTTTTCTTTGTCTTTTACTCAGCCAACAAAGAACGTTTGAGAAAATTATTAGGCGCGTGACATTTTCAGTTGCCTGTCTGGTTCATATCATTGCTTTATTAGGCTGTAGAAATTCATGGCCAGAGCTTTTATTTTAAATGAAATGCAGAGGGTAAGGAAAGCACACGCGAAGCATGGTATTTGCGCTGTTTAAATGTCAACATCAAACTCAGACAGCTGTATTTGAAGCACCAGGCTCCTGTATAGTCACAGGAGAGAAATAAGTGATTCTGTGCCTCCAACTTAAGGTTGCCTCTATTGAAGAGGGTTCCTCCTGCCTAAAGGAAAAGGGTAGGAATACCCTGCTCTCCAAAAGATTTAAGAAAGCAGTAAACAATAGAACCTTTCGCAATACGTATTACCAATTTAGCCACTAAGTTACAACTAAGCTATTCCACTTAAACTTTAGCCTAACCAGAGAGACAGATCCAAAACCTTACCCACAGCACTGGGAAAGTCAACCGTTGAGCCCACCTTCCTAGGCGTGAGCTGTTGGTAAGAGGGCGGACCCACAACATGAAGTTTCAGCTTTCCCAGAAAGCCAAAGCTGACTGTGAAAGCAGAATGCGTCTCAAGGTGGGGGTATGCAATCTGCAGCAGCAGTACTAGCAGTGCCGCGATGGAAGAGTATGATCAGTGCGCTCGCTTGGCCTTTAGGCAGTTCCACGGCTGACTGTTATTTGTACATCTGGATTTCACTCTCAAAAGAACTTTTCCTGTCTTCCCTCCTACCAAACAGCACAAAACACCAAGCTAAGAGCGAAGATGGAGCACAGCATCTGCTTTTCCATTCTGTGCACACATACAAGTTACCTTGGCGCAACTAGTAACATCATACTCACATAACTACCCAAAGCACACAGACAGCTATCCAAAGAGAGGATTAGGAGTTTTAGATACTCAGTTCCCCTTAATACTCGGTTGTTACTTGGCTGCTTAAATCCCTCAGGTTTATTTAAAAAACAATTATACCAATTTACTTATGCTGATTAGTGGTGTGATCTCGTTCTTAAGCTATTATAAATAATCGAGAACAAACTGTGGAATAGATGCAAGGATGAGCTTGGATTGACCAACAGATCAATGCCTTACGTAGCGGCATAGGTAATTTCATTTGAAGTAAAATAGTCCTATTTCCCAACCACATGCTTTCTCAGATGTTCTTATTTGTTCTAAAATGCTCATGGAAATAATAGGTTGCTCTCATTTCCACAGGATCATAACAGAAATGAAATTGCAGTGGGAGCTACCATGGCACATGAGATGGGTCATAACCTTGGCATGAGCCACGACACCAAGGCCTGCACATGTAACGCCAAAGTTTGCATCATGACAGATACCGTCAGGTAGGCATTTGTAAAGAAGGGGGAGTGCTTTAATGCCTAGGGGCAGTTAACGACGGGCTTTGGATAAGCTGCCAGTTTCCTAAATGGCATAGTAGTTATTTTTGCCCTCTGAGATTATTCCATTCAAAATATACAAAAGGAAAAGTAAAAAGAATAAATTCCAGAAAGTGCTAGGCATCCCATTTTGAATTCTAAGCTCTTGAAAGATATTCCCAGATAGACAGCCAAAAAAATCATTAGTCGCTCTCGGTTAGCCTTTACGTTACATGCATGGTGGGGCCTTCACATTATACCGTATGTTTGCAGTAACCATTTCTTCCTTAAAATGATAACAGCATGACTTTTGGGAAAACTATTGTGGCATCTCACGGATGATAAAACTCCCCAAGATTTATCTAAAGTGTATTTTTGTTCTCCATCTGAAGATATTTCCTGTGAAAATGACACTAAGTGCTTGCGCTTACAATAAACATCCATTTGAGAGGTTTATTGAGAGGTCAATTTTAATCTTTTTTTAAACACCCTCAGCTTCTGTCAGGCAGCCCAATGGAAAACTCCTAATGCCTGAACCACCTAGATAGGATTTGTGTAGACCAGGCTTACTTCTTTGGGATGGAGGTTTTATTATATGCAGTGTTTACATTTATTACATCTTTTTTTTCCATATGATCTGTTTGTTTCCACTTTTTTTCCTGCTATAACTAGAAGATAATGTTGTATTTATTAATCTATGTATTTGGAAAAACGGCTGCATCTAACACTTTAGGGCCAGGTCACTTGTTCATTTCTCCAAGTGGTATTACTGCTCCTTGCCTATGCCGATTCTAACGTAATCTTCCTGCTTTCTCAATATAGTTCTATAATCCCCCAGAAATTCAGCTCATGCAGCCTCCAAGATTTCGAGAAATACATGTTGAGTGACATGCCAAAATGCTTAACTGACGTCCCAGATATAAGCAACATCATAGCCCCTCCAATCTGTGGAAACAGCTTTGTGGAAAAAGGGGAAGAATGCGACTGTGGAACTCCTGAGGTACCTACATGTAACTTGGAGTAAAATAATACTTGGAAGAGGCAAAGAGTTTTATCCAGGCTGTGTAATAGCTAGCCTGTATTGGTATCTGAGGTAGCCAGTTCAAAGCTAGCTGAAGTTGCTAGTTCTGCAGCAACTGTGGTCACCAAATTGCTGATCTGCAACGTAGTCACCCACATAGCATGCACGCAGAACCGCGGCAGAGTAGACTGCACAGTATGGTGATGCCGACTGTGCAGACAGAGGAACTCAGAATGGGGAAGAGCCTTCTGGATCAAATTGTCTGAGAGGAAATGAGCAAGATCCTTGCACCACTTACGTCTGCACTTCATAATCAAACACACTTTGTATTCTTGCATGAGCTGGCAGGTCCAACCCTTTCCTGCCTCAGTAAGCTGGTGCAGGATGGTTCATTGAGAATGCAGTAAAGAGGGGACCCAAAAGGTGAAGCGCTGGGCCAGGGCTCTGATTCCTCTCTGATTCTGTCACAGGAATGCACAAACGCCTGCTGCGACCCCGAGACATGCAAACTGACCGCGGGTTCTCAGTGTGCACATGGAGAGTGCTGTGAAAACTGCCAAGTAAGACTCCTTTTCACCTCTGGCTTCTCTCATGTTTTCTGGGGTACGTTTTTGGCCTTGAAAAGGCAGCAGTACACCTTTCAAGAGAACTAACCCTCATGATTTGTAATTACTGACATCGCATTGTAATGAGAAGCACGCTTTGCCCATCCCAAACTACCCTACAGCTATCAATTCACTCAGTCTTTCAACGTCCTGGTGAAATAAGTTTTTCCTGTTTTCTCCTGGAAGAAAAACTGAGGCACAGCCAAGCTACAATCTTGTAAACAGATGTAACCAACTCAACATTAGATAAGAACTTGGCCATTAATGCAATTTGTAGAGTGAGAGTGGGATTTGCCTCCCCTAAGTTTAGCCCTCTCATTCAGTGTGATTTTTCAAAGGCATGGAGGAGCCACGTGCTAAACGCAGCATTCCTTTCATCCCCTTCAGTATAAAAAACCAGGAGCTGTTTGTCGAACGGTTAAGCACGACTGTGACCTGGCTGAGATGTGCACTGGCTTTTCTAAGAAGTGCCCAGCAGACCGCTTCCGTGTGAACGGATATCCTTGCAACTCTGGCAAAGGTTACTGCTACATGGGAGATTGTCCCACCCGGGAAAATCAGTGCAAAGCTGCTTTTGGGCCACGTAAGTACAAGCCGGCATTGAAAAAAATAAGGCTGTCTAGGTCAAAGAAGAGAGACGAAGGCAGACTTTGTCTAGTGGCAAATCGTCAAAGATCTTCTGGATATCAGGAAGAGCATGTCTATAGAACCAAGTTCTAGTTTGTAGCATATACTTAATTATTATTTTCATGTTCACATTAGACGTAATTATAACTACATGAGCTGAAGTCCATACCACACAATATATTTGTAGAGGAAAAAGGAAGTGGCAAGCTAATTCCTCCTTTGCACAATGGTGATAACTTTGGAACGGAGCTGGGTGAAGGTGGAATTCTTTGCTTGATAGGTTGAGAAGATACCCATATTTCAAATGAATTAATATTAATTGAGCTATCACTGCCATTCCCTATTTATTAGCTGAAATTTGCATGTTTGCAAAAGCCCGGAGCCTGCAGAATATATCAACACGCTCTTAAAATATCTTTCTCCTTTGCATATCTTCCTATTTCTTAAGGCATTAGCTGGCTTACCTTCTCCTCCAGTCTTGACTGTGCCCCTTCTCCTTAGGCAAGGTCTGTTGTTTTGTATAAAGAACCCCTAAGACAGGAGTTGCTTTGTGCATACAGAAACGCTGCAGACTCTAATCTAATCCCAGCTTCTCTCCTAAGCTCTTTATTTCATTACATATCTCATTTTCCTCTTCAACAGAGGCTACTGAAGGTGCAGCTTCCTGTTACCGGATGAACGAGAAAGGGGTATATTATGGATACTGCAGAAAAGAAAAAGGTAGTCACTCCCCATGTAAGAAAAAGTAAGTAGCATGTTACAGAACTGTGCTGTTCAATCTGGGAAAAGAGATCATTCCAGTTCAAATTAAGAGACAGAAGCAAAGAGCACCGTATTTCAGAAGGCACATATATCCATGCGTGCCTTCTCTTTCATCTTCAGTATGAATTGTGGTAAAGACAATATTGAAGAGAAATCTAATTTCCAAATAGTATTCTTACCCAGAGAACAAATGTTGCAAAGCAAGCTGTCCTGAGATCAGCCTGAGAAAAAATGAGTGTATACATGTATCTGTACAAATCTGCTTGTGAAGATGACTCTGTGCGCGCACGCATGCAGGTGTGTAGATAAGGAAAGGGAAGGGAATTTTTAGACAGGGAACTTGAAGTTCAGGTGAACCCAAAGTTGAGTTCAGATCAGTTAAATACTCATTTCAGCAAATTACTGTGGGCTCCCTAATAACCTCAACAGCAGTTAAGGATCTTTATGTTTTACCCACCAACTGGCATCAAATCACCACAGGCCAAACTTCATCCCTCTAGCTGCTTCTTTGGAGTTCCTGTAGGGACACAGCAATTTCATGCTGGAAGAGAGGACAGCTCAAACCGTTTTTCTGTGCTGTGTCATTGTTCTAGCAGCTCTTGTTCTCCTTGCAGAGATATAATGTGTGGGAAGTTGTTCTGTGCTGGGGGGAAGGAGATGCCTCTGTACGGGAGCCTGGTGATGTTTGAGTCATGCAAAGCAAGCTTTCCGAGCCACGGAGAAGCAGATCCAGGGATGATTCTGAATGGAACCAAGTGTGGGAGTGGAATGGTTAGTAGAGGAAAGATTTTCTCCTATTTCTTTTCTCTTTCAGTCTTGCTTATATCATTAGCAGTTTTGCCAGACAAGAAAGACTTTAAACAGGGAAGACCGAAGGGGACACTATACTTGTGATCTGATCTGCTAAACCTTCTGCCTTACATCTAGTACAAATCAGTGGAAGAGCAAATGGGAACTGCTGTCCTTCTCATTTCCTTATGCTTGACCGCAGTGTTTTACTTATTGATATCAATGGATGGGGCAGCAGAAATGCACCTTTCTACTGAAAGGTTAAAAGGTCACACATAAGTTACTATTTTTAATCAATTATTTCTATAACGGACGTGCTAGGCATCACTGATTGCTGGAATGCTACGTCCGCATTTCTTTGCTTTATATTTCTTCTTAGAGGAGGTTCAGGGGAAAAAAGGGTGAAGGATGGAAGAAGGGCAGAAACCAGTGATGCCTATACATCTTCATCCCTCTCCTCTGTTATAAAATATCCAAAATTTGAATGAGAAATCACAGCTACATATCAAAGAGCGTGAGTGATCTGCATACCTGTTTCTATGCCTCTTTTCACTCTTCATCACTTCATACAATAACGAGAAAGCTCTGCATGTTCTGGAAGCCACTTGTCTTGGATGACACGCGCCCTGTACTTTTCAGGTGTGCAGCAACGGAGAATGTGTCTATGTCGAAGATGCCTTCAGATCCACCAACTGTTCTGCCAAGTGTACTGGACATGCTGTAAGATATGAACTTTTGATGCTATCCATCTTCACAAACAACAACAACAACAAATTGATGCAAGTTAGCTATAGACCTTATTGAAGGCACCTTTTTTTTTTTTTTAAATCATTGGGACGGGAATTTGCAAAAAGCCTGGAGTCAGAAGTTTCTTATATCTTTATGAAAGCAAATCTAACCGACAAGTTATCAATACGTTTACTAATGAAATCGCAGGAGATTCTGTCTGTGGTCCTGCCACTGAGGCATTGTATTACAGCCATTCTCTCCTAGAAATCCTTCTTTTTGTGAAGATAATTGTGCTCATCTGATTTGAGCATTCAGAGACCCTACAGACATAGAGTCCAAGCCTGCTGCTATGTGCCTTATGCTATAGCTTCTTCTGCAGAAATACCTACAAAAGGCACAAGAAAGCAGACGAACAGGCCTGTCCTCTACTGTGTAAAGCAAACTCTGCTATTACAAGTGCTAAATTTTAGTCTAAGTGGAACGAGAAGGAGTTTTCAGGCGTGACTTCAGCAAGCTTATCAGGAGCCGAAACCACAGCCCCTGAAATTTTGTTACATCACCTTCACTCAGGCTTCCACCCTGAAAGGCTGGCTTTATGCTTCCCTAGGTGTGTGACCACGAGTTGCAATGCCAGTGTGAAGAAGGATGGGCACCACCAAACTGTGACAGCTCGACAGCAGTTACCAGTGAGTACTGCATGGCCACAGATTCGGCAGGCTCTGCCAACAGGAGACTGAAATGAAAGTTTCTTTAACTCCAGTGAAACAGAGCTACTTGTACTGCCTGTCTTGCAAACACGGCACATCTAAGTCTCCGAATCCTCTTTAAGTCATTACAGGTTGCGTGAATGACTAGAGCAAGCCATTTTTCTTTATAATCTGACGAAACTGATACATCTAAGAGAGAAATAGTGTAGCAGGCTGTGTCTTTCTCCATCCTGAGATAACAAATACGCTATATTAGCTCACTGTCAAATTTTTGCGCAGGCAGCTCCCCAGAGGTTTTGCTGTGAGGAAGGCTGACAAGGTCATTTCTTTATCACCTGCATGGAACTGACCTTATCCTCATCTACCTTACCTGTGCAATTTCCACGTGGCTGGGAAAAGAATGGTTTCTGAGCCTTTGTTATCATCTGTGTTTCTCCTCTCTCCACACCCATTAGGAGCACCAGCACCAGCAACATCATGCCTTGGCTTTAGAAAAGCTTTGTTGAAGGACAATCGTGAAGCCTTAACTTACATACCGTGACAATGTATTGTGCCCAGTTTGGGGGATCATCCTTTAAGGGAAGAGAGAGGACCTACAATGAACAGAAATGAAAAAGCATCATCTGTGAGGACAGAGGGAAAGGGCTGGATTTGTTTAGTCTAAAGACAGCTCAGGCAGGAACAACAGTCTTCAAATATGGCAGAAATTGCAAGAGTAAGTTTCTCCCCGTTACCGTTTGTGATAAGACAAGAAGCCATAAGCTTGAGCAACAGTGAGGATAAGTATAGCATAGATGCCAAGAAAAAAATTCTGTTGCCAATGCTAGGGAAGGGGAAACTGCTTAGCAATACTTGTCTTTCAAGAAACAGCAACTTGTGTTCTCTCTTCCTGACAGGTTTCACTATTGCTGCCGGCGTGCTGGTTGCCCTTGCTGTCACAGCAGTAGCCGCAGTGTTACTTATCCGTTTCCGAGTACTCAAGAGGTAAAATGCTCTCCCCGTTGAGAAAAAATAACTAAAATCAAGCAACTTCTGGATGGGTTTTAGGCTGGGGTTTTCAAAGGGGGCGAAGGGAACCAGGGGCCTACCACCTTTATTGAGCTGTTTTAGAAATCCTGTAATCAGGAGAGGACTGAAGACTTGAAACTGCAGCTCAAGACTAAAACTACAGTAATTTTAATTAAAAAGGGAGGGGTGGAGAAAGGACATGGCTCTATAGCAGGCCAACAGGAACAAGGCAGGGACTCAATTTAGCAGGTTTTTGCTTCGTTCAGGAGAAAACGCGCAGTTTTAAGTTAGATGTTAACATTTACATAGCTGCCAGACCAGAAGGGGACCTGGAGCCGCAAACCAAATCTTCGTGAATCAGGAACAACGACAAAGAGAACACCCTGTACCGGTGGTACCTGCCCAGAAGGTAAGTGCAAGGAGGTGCTGGGTGTGCTCCAGCCTCCCTGGGCACGCAACAGAGGGGCCGAAACATCAAAACTTGTCAGCCAAAGCGCACTGCGTTTCCAGACTTTCTAAATGCTTATCTAGTGCAAGAGGAGAGCGCCGAGTCCCAGCGCGAGGAGGGAGCGGGTAAAGCACCCGGCACTAAGTCGGGTCCCTGGGTGACCTACTGTAGAAAGCCATAAGCAAGCAAAACTAGCACCCAGGAGAGTTTGCCACAAGGCCTTCACCTGACTTAATCGTTCCCTGTTTTCAGACGAACGACAAGAAACTTCTCCTTCCCGTACCTCCGCTACAGGAAAACAAACCACAGCGTCAGAGCGTAAGTACTTTGAAGGAATTTCTTTGCTTTCGTGTTTATTCAGGGGAAGGCAGAACACAGAGCTCTGATGTTAAGGTGGTCAGCCACAATGATGATCTGGTCCCAAAGGCTGTGGAAATCCCTGCACTCCAGATACAGCCCTGTATTTTCTCTTAAAGCCGGAGGAATGACGTAAAGCATCCCAGACCTAACGTTCAAAATTCACAGAGTCAAGGCGCAACAAAAACCATGCAATGTGACTTCCCGGCAGCCTCCTTATCGACCAGTAGTACAGGTTAAGTTGGAGCTATCACAGTCAGATGATCTCCTTCCTTCAGATCTGGCCCTATTATGAGGGGAGATGAACCCAAGGTAGATAGAAGCAGCTTTAAAGCTGTGGAGAATGTGCTTCTGGAACCAAAACCATGAGCCTACAACTCAGGCCACCATGAGACATGAATCAAGACAAATGACTCTATTCAGGGGTGTAGGTTTGGTTGTCTAAAACTACATAAAGAGGATATACCATACAAGCTACTGATTTTATTTATATTGATCCAAACAGAACACTCCCTCTAGATGCATTCATATTAAACACATCGGAATTAAAATAAAGTTACGATGACATGTTTTCAGCCGTGTGGCATTAATAAAAAAATGCTGTTGAGAACCAGGAAAAAAAGCCTAACCAAAAACCCTAACATGGCAAAATTCCTTGTTTCTTCACTGCAGCCAGAAATACACTGATGAGCTTTCAGGTTTGGGTTTATTCGGAAATGAATGCATCCTTTTACCTATTTTAACACACCTTCTATACAGAACACAAGCCTGCACATGTTCTCAGGGGAACATGCAGATGCACACATACATAATATGTACACACAGGCAGTATGTTTTTATTCTCCTTTTTTACAGCCTGCCATAAGGCCAAAAGGTCCCCCACCTCCTGTCCCATCTACCAAACCAGCCACTTCTCACACAGAAGAGAGCTTTGTAAGTATAACCCTCCAGCTCCTCATGTCTTCCCTCTGAGTTGCACGTGAATAGCAGATGCCAATTAATATTTTCAGTTTATGACTATGCATAAATCAATCAGACATTCAGACCGCACATTCTTTAAAGGGTAGGAACCATCTTCTTTGCCACGCAACCCTAAACTACACAAAATATTTTTTAACCTGCGCTGAGGAGTCCTGTGTGCCATCACAAGTACATCTCACGAGCAATAGTATGCAGCATCCACACCTATGGGGATTTCAGGTGTAAACACAATGTAAACGATGAGCATCTTTGCTGCTATAGATCTTTGCAATGCTCCCTGCATTTGCTGAGATCTGGCGGTCACTAAAGATGCCACCTGTGGGTGGATCTCCATCAGCACGTCGCAATTTTTTTAGAAGCCAGAAGAACATTTGCTGCTAATAAACCCGAAGAATCCTACTTAAAGAAACAAAAATCCCTCACTCGGCTGTTAAGCACCTCAGTGTCTGAGCCTCCTGCCTGTCCGATACTCGGGTCTAAAGAGAGTCTTCATACTCGCAACCTAACTGCGTGCTACTGCCGACGTGAAGACAGACTGATCAAGACCCAGAAAACGCATGGGCTTAACTATACGGGGATACATTCAAATTCTATTGTCTTTACAGATGCTTTCCTCCACGCGTACCTTGAGCGCCTCACCAGCTTTAGCTTCCTGAGCAGCGTACCTGAGCATGGTCACTTGACGCAGATCAATTTACGCACTGATAACAGCTCAGGGCTCTTCTGAAACAGGAGATCTACATCCCTTGCATATTTATATTATTGTGCCTTGTTGTATGCGGATAGACAACCTAATTCACCCCTAGGTTTTCTACTAGGAAAATGCTGTAGTAAATATATGAGATTATAGTAGCAGCAGCTGAGGTCTGAGGAAGTTCTGCAGATGCTCAGACAAGAAAGCATAAAGACATTTAAACTATGTTTTTATTACAGGCACCAGAAAGAAAATCTGCTCATTTCCCAGTTCCCAAAGGCAAACCTCCACCTCCACCAAAGGTAACTCAAGTTCAGATGTGAATAGCAACTCTTCTGGGATGTCATTTGCTGAAATTGCAGCGGGCACAGTGATTTGTCAAATTCTTTTTTTTTTTTTATTTAGGCTTTAAAACCGCCTGCTAATCCCAGAGTGTGAAGCTTCTGGAATAGGACAGATCAAGAAAGCTGAAATTTTCAGGGACAGTTTGATTGTCCTATGATTCCTCCATTTTCGGCAAAGGCAACTGAGATATTCTTCCTGTTTTCTATAAAAAAAAAGAACAAATGATTGACAGCTGCTTTGAGAGAAAAAGTTTGTTTTGCAAACAGTGAGGAACTCTTTGGTCATGACATCAAGCTGCTGTCCAAAAGGAAACCAAGCAAAATAGCTACTTGCACTAAGGTGTACACTGGGAGTGAATTATGAAAGCTGCTTACATATCCCAACTTCTAGGCCACCACCCCAAGACGTGGCTGTACTGGGATGCCTTGCATCTGCACTGCTCTTCATCGGTTTGGACCCGAGCGATCAGGGAAAGCCTGGTGGACCAGACCTGTTAGCAAACTGTAAACTTTGTGCTACATTTCCAGATCTTTGCCAGCCCCATCTTCAGCAACAGACCAGACCTTCTGCTTCATGCACAAGTTGCAAGCTCTGGAAAAAGAAAAACCCTTCCTGCCTTTTGAAAAAAAAAAAAAATGCATCCTTGAGGCTAGTGCCTGATTTAGCCTTGGTGTAGTTAGATTAGAGTGGGAACACTTGGATTCTGGAAGGATCCTTTTGGATCCCATTCTCTCATCAATCCTTAGATTGCCTGTTAAACAAGACTCCTCTTTTGAGGAGGCAGCACTGGAGATAGGCTCACAAGCAAAGTACCCGGGAGTCGCGCAGCTTGCTGCTTGCAAGTACTCTCAGATCTCTGGCTGTGCCAGTTTAAAAAGAACTCCAGCTGCCATCATTTCACTTGGAGAGCAAAATTTTAAAAAGGACAGTCAACAAAGTCCTTAATCATTTATTTTATTTGTCCCTCAGCTCCAAAAATATCTTAGTACTTCTCCCTTCCAGGATATACACACCTTGGTGTTTTTGTTTAATTGCTCTTGCACCAGGGTGTGTTATTGTAAAGTTGCTAATGAGAACTAGGCCAGGCACAGGGAGTTATTATTGTAGGACTGCATCTCGGCATGAGGCTTTGCACACTGGTGGATTACTGTGGGGTTCTTCATTAGTTCGGGCCTGCTGGCATCAACTTTGTTGACACTGCTGGCCTGCTGGCATAGATCTTAATGATACTGTTGGCATTGACATTAATAATACTGTGAGGGTGCTGGCACTCATGCTATTGTTACCATTGGCACTGATATTATTAATGTGGTTGGCATCGATATTTTTAAGTAAAAGCACACGGAAGTATTTTTCAAGGAATAAAAACTTTACCAGAAAAAAGAGAGAGAGAGAGAAATAAAATTGCCCTGGACCCAAAGTACTCAAGATTTTATAGAGGTTCCAGTTTGAACTGGATTTGGGTTTGGACCAGGATCAAAATCAGAACAGTCTTTCAGTTTTCCAAATTGATTACGCCGCAGCTCAGGAAGGCAGGTTTCCAGCCTTTGGGCATGGCAGCTTTGTTGGGGAAGATCAGGCAGCTGCCAAACTGACCAAACAAAATCCAAGGCCTCAGGGCAGCACTGGGAATAGTAACTTCAATCTGGGCTTGGTTCTGACCAGTGCCGATTAGGACTGTAAAATAAGCCTGATCCTCAAAGAGGGCATGAATCCCCCTCACGTCCACAAACCAATTCACACACACGCTGAAAGCCTGACCCGCATGATCCTGCCCCAACGCTTGACACAACGGGGTTTTTAAAGTGCACGGTTTTGAATGCAGAACCTTATTTACAGTGGCTGTTTACTACAGCTGCGTACTGCAGAACTGTTGTCTCTTTAATACAGTAACGCACGTAAAAAACAACACAACTTTTTTGCTTTGAAGTTGCCAATAAGTACTGTCTGTCCTGTAAAAACACAGATGTGATGAACTTACAACCATCAGTTTCGAGAAGGGAGGTGGGTTTTTTTAGGATAGATTTTACTGGAAGAGCATTGCTTTCTTCCGCTTTGGATAACCGAGTCTTTATTTTTATTCGGAAAGGGATTTTAACCGATCCACGTGTGACTACGGCGTAAAGATTTAGAACTTATTATTGTGAACTGTAATTAATGTATTTACAAAGATTTCTGTATTAAAAGTGTTCTAACTTAAGGGGAGATGGCTGTTTTGTTTTTTAAAGATAATTTGTACATAAAACATATGAAAATAGGATAGACTAGGATCATTTATAACACTGCCAAATCCCCAAAACTCCTAGTCTGTATCAAAAAGGTCAGAAGTGTCATGCAAGCCTGCCAAAGTTATCCAATAAAGCTCTGCTGAATTAAATTGACTTTAATGGCTGACATCCTAAACAGAGGAAACCTTAATCCGCTAAAGGAAAAGATACCACATCACATCCAGGGACCACCTGCTTATGGTCTCTTTTTTCCACAGTTTTCAACCTTTTCCAGGCTGTAAGCATTTACAAGCAAATACAGACCTGAAGCAAGTTGACACCTGCTGACGAGAGACTTGCTTTTCCTTACCTTTCCAAGGCCCTCACAACTCCCAAACCACGGAGCAGGTTTCTCCTTGCTTTCTCCTGCAGAAGACCAGTACTCTGCGTGACCTGGGTGGGCGAATATCCCCTTTGCACCCAGCACAAGTGTGTGCGTGCTACGCTGAGACTCTCCAGCAGTAGCTAGCAGCAAATAGGCAACAAAGGAAAACAGAACCGCGCACACCTATAGGAGTTCACGATTCACAACCGTTTTCCTGGCCTCAGCATCCAAAAGACGGGAAGTGGTAGTGTCCGATGTGGCTGAGCATGTGCTCCATGGACCCCAGCTAGGCCCTGCAGCCAGGGGCTGGTCTGTGCCTTGCAGCCTGTTGTTCAGTTATGCAAACGTGACATCTACCGTCAAAAAGCCTTTACTGCAGGAAGAAAAGCAAATCCAAGAAAACTTCTGACGTTTTCAGGACTCCAAGCATCAGGAGCCTGCGGTACCTAGTCTCCAGCACCGCTTCATCCTAAGGAACTTCTCCCTCTCCGATTTCAAACTTTTCACGAAATAGCAACAGTTTGACCTGGGCTCAGCTGTGCCCTTATTTCGGGTTTAACGGCTTCTTGCTCAGCACCATTTGCCCTACGCACATTGTACGAGGGAGTAGCAAGGCCATCTACTGGCACGATACAGTAAGATATAGAAAGGGTTTCGGCACAGTGCAATCACCGTCAGGGAATTAACGCTGACCGAACCATCATGTGCTATGCAGGGGTGGTGTGCAGGTCCCTTCTTTCCCTCCCGGCCCAAAAGCAAAGCTGTTTCCCACTACTTCTTCTGGCAAGAGTAAGCCCTCCTCTCTTTCAGCTCCCCTTGCTCCTAGGGAGGGCAAAACGTCTCTTTTCTGCGTCTTTCTAATCTCTGAATCGACCACTCTTTCATCCAAGAGAGTGCAAATCTCTTGCTCTTTGTTCCCACAAATCGCTGTGCAGTGCTCGGGGTTCACTGGAAACAAGGCACGCACCAGAGGACCATCAGACTGATTGCCTCTGTAGTTCCTATCTGGCTCTCTTAATTGTGCGCTGTCCTGTGCAAATGCAACACCGTCCATTAGAGGGCAATGGGGCACAGAGAAGAAATTTCTCTTGCTGGCTATCAGATGCCTGCTATCACCTCAAATGAGATAGCTCAGAATTGACTGCTTCCTCTAACCTTGAGTTATAGATTCAGAGACATTAACAAGGACATCAACAGCCTGGGAGGGTGCGGAGGCTGGAGCAGATTCAGATTTTCAGACACAGAGGCACCAGACAACTAATAAATAGGTTAAACCCAACCCTTCAAACGTGACACCCCAGACGTTGCTCCGGACAGCAATAGGAAGCCCTAATTGTTTAAGGTTTTATTGACCAGAAACGAAAATACAGTCCTGCCCCATATTCAGCCCCTACTGCAGGGAGGAAGTAAATGTCACTTGTAACTGGAGATGAACGGTTTTCTTTTGCTTTATCATCTCAGGAGATCTTTCATAGCCTCATAGTACCACATAAATCATTATCATCTTAAATAAGTGAATAAAAGACTGCTGGATGAATCTAGTGATGTGTAAATTGGGGTAAATTCATAGAAACATTTAAGATTTCCTAGCTGACAAACCTCGAGAATTCAGGCCCTGCTGCCCAGTATCTACTATCCAACTGGTTTTCCATCGCTATAAAACAGAAATGGCTCTTGCTATGGTGTCATTCATCACAGACTGATCACAGCAGCATACGTGAACCTCAGCCATCAGCTACTTAGTGCTATTTACCAGTGGATGAGAAGTACTTTAACCATCAGTTTATTGGTAACTTCTTGAGTACGGCATTGCTGGATGCTTCTACCCTTCCCTGGTGCCGAGGAAATGGAAGGCCCAGGGGAAGGAGGAAGGATGTCTGAAAGGTTGCCAGCAATTGCCACGGCCACCGGATCATTTTAGAGCAATCTTCAGAAGAGTGGCCCAGATAGTAACAGGCTGTTACTGACATTAGCTCCATAAATAATTCTGCATAATGCATAGCCCCAGCCTTTAGAAGGCCTAGGGGGAAAAAGGCGGAGGCTGAAATAGTGACAAATGTGTCTGAGGCCACCACGAAAAAAAGGGGAAGCAATTTCCACGGGACTGGTCTAAGCCACCGTTCCCAGGACCGGAGGGAAGCTCGGTCACATGCCTTATAGAGTCCACAGCCCCAAGCAGCAGGACAATCGAAAGGAACGACACAACTTCAACGACTTCAGAAAGGGAGGCATCCTCCCTTCAGCCCTTGAAAACTACTGGGAAAGACTGACAAACTTTTCTAGCAAGCCTTGGTACAGGGGAGGACAGAGCTTGGATTTACTCTGTGCTGCGGAAACAGAAAAGGTTTTTCTCTTGCATCATTTCATGCATGGAGAGAGAAATGAGCTGCTCTTCCACCATACACCAAACCTATTTTCACGTCCTTAAGTGCACTACAATAATGTATTTTCCATGTCACTCTCTGCAGCTGTCACAGAGAGACATGTCCTGAATCCCAGGACTGGGTACTTCCCGTTAAAGTACTGCAATCAATTGCTAAGCATGTTTTATAGATTAGCTGATCCAAAGACCCCTGCTACCCAGGCCCATTTCGTGATCAGGCTCCATAACGGTAGAAAACCCATGAGATAACTTGAACAGAGGAGAAAGAAGGAAGCATAGTCTCCCAGTCAAGGTACTGAAATGGATAAACACGATTCACTCCCTTCAGAGACGTTGCCCGACCACCCGTGTGCTTTTCTTCTGTTACGAGTCTACCCTCTCCGTTCTCTGCACAGGACACCTTTTCTCCTGAGGAGGAGACACCTGAGGAGGACAGCAAGGAAATTCCCACTGCCTGCGTGACACTGTTCACAGAGCTTTGAGCCAGATTTCAAGGCATCGCTCTCTTATACTCTAAGATAGAGCTAAGAGACCAACTCTCACGCCAGTGGTCAAATTTCTTGGCACTTAGCAGCTGCAGTCAAGGGCTGCCTTTTCAGAAGAGTTTAGCATCTGCTGTGCACCCAGCACGTTAAGCCCACATGCCTGGAAACTAAATTCCAGGCTCCAGCCTCAAATTCCCTGTGTTTCAGCTCTGCACGCGTGAAATGAGGGCACTAGCTCCTCCTCCCGCTCCCTATCTGCCTTCTCTTGAAATTCAGGGGCCCTCACTTCCCTCCATTGGCTGCAGAGCTGATGAGCCCACAGGGGCCAGGTGCCTAACACTTCCTGCTGTGTGGCAGTACCTTTCTGGATCCGCTTTTCTTTATTGTAGCCCACGCAAAGGGGCCTGGGTGCTAGTCAGTCTTTCTGGGCCATAACGTCAGTCCTTCTGGGCCATAACGACAAGAAGGACTTGCAGTAGCGACGCTGAGGTGCATATTAAAGAACTTCGATGCAACCATCTCTCTAGCATGCAATCTCCTGACATGCTGCTCTGCTGAGATTGATCTCTGGAGCTATTTGAAAATCCCTCTGGTAAAGCCCTGAGCAAGAAAACAAGCGAATTTGCACAGCTACATTCTGCAGCAGCCCAGCATCCAAAAAAGAGGGAGAAGTCACAGCAGGACCATGCGCCTGAATCATCCGACAATCACCAGACCTCCAGATAGCTGTAATTTGCTGTGAATTTTTCATGCTAGAATCAGCTGTGTGCTGCAGGCACCTAGCCGAATGGAAAATAAACCTGAAATATTAATGATACACATCAGAGTGCAGGCAGGAAAAGAGCTACAAATGAGGACAGGGAACCTCAGATAGCCTGATAGCATGGCTCTCTTCTTGTCCAAAACGCAGGTGAGTTACAATGAGCACACATTGCTTCACAGGCACCAAGAACATTGCAGGAGGCCAAGCACTCCTGACAATAAGACCGTCTTCTTGCCCCAAACGCAAGAACATATTTAAACACTAGGCGCTATTAGAAGCCTCAGTTATATAATACAGGAAAACCCTTGATCTGCAGCATAACTGAGGCTTGGAGCAATCATCCTTCGACTGGAGAGACACAGATGCCAGGTTTTGGCACGCTCACCAGTTGGTCTCTGCATGAGGAACCCACTGGGAACTCACATTAGCTAAACCTTCCAGTTTATCGCTTGCGCTTTTCAGTCATGGCTTGGCCTAGAATTAGCACCTTGTGCCAGGAGGTACCATCTCCTTCCCAATCCTGCATCTCAATAGCCCAAGTCGCAAGGCAGACAAAGTATACAGAAAAGAGGAAGGGGGGGGGATTAGTTCTGCACAAATTGATACTTCTAAGCAACTGTCTAGACATTATAAACCATCAGACAGACTTCTCACTCACTGATATGACCTGACCCAAAACTCTTTTAAATTTAACCAGAGTGGAAGCCCAAGACTGTATTGTCAGAAATGCGCAAGAGCTCTAAATCACACCAGCACTAATGTTTTCTGCTTCCCTTGAATGATTATATTATCAATTTTACACCTATTCCTTATTCATGTAGCCATTTCCTTGCCTTAAAAGCTATCCTGACTTGGGGTTAGAGTCATTTACTTAATCACTGCCACCCTTAGGAACATTGCAATT